TAAAACAATTATTTTAAAAATAAACTAAAAGAACAAAAACAAAACTATAATTTATTTTGTTTTACATCTTTTTCTAGATTAAATTTATCCTTTTGATTGCTGATTTTAAGGGTTGTCTTCATTAGTTTCCCCTCCAATGTTTGGGACTTTTATATTACAGCTAATCTTAAGTAGAAAGCATTTGTTTCTTTGCTTGTTCTCTCTGACTCAGTCTGTCTGTCTGTCTTTCTATCTGTCTCTCTCTGACTACTTTTTCCTAATGGTTTTGTGGTTGCCTCCACTCATTTCTGCTATCCAAAGAGGACTATGATGACTTGGGCTTCTTGGCCCCGTGGTGACATATGGATATGACAGATACAGTATGAGAACTCTGGAGAGCTTGGCCCAGGTATGTAATGAGATGCTTTGCCTGCTTTCTCCTTGGGCTCCTAGATTTGTATAGTCCAAAGCCCAAGCTACTGTGACAGCTCTTTTGCAGGCTCCTTTCATGTAGGTATTATTGCTCCAGTCTACTGGGTGGGGCCTTTTACTATAGTTCCAAATTCATCACTGCAGCACTTGAGATACTCCTGCATCTACCTCCTTGTGGACCCAGAAAACATCAGGTCCATGGCTTCAGCCCAGCTTTACCACTTTGTGTTCCTGTTCTATTTCTGATACACAGAGATGTTCATCATCTTTTAAATTTTCTCTTGTTATAGCTTGTCTTTAACTGCTATATATATATATATATATATGGAGCAGGGTAGTAGGCAAAACATGAATTTACACTGCCGTCTTCACTAGATATTTTTCAGGTCAATGCAATGGAATTTTAGCAGAAAGATTCAAAAAGGATATCAAATTCTACTTGGTAGACTAGAAAGTATTTTTTTTTAGAAATTCTGAATTTAAGGTAAGTGGAGCATATTTCATTGGAGGTGAGTTATAGTAGGTTGCAAATAAAATATAAAAGATCAGTCAGGAGGCAATGCTGAACATGTAGTTTTAGAAATCATACAAGTAAAGGAAAAAATAACCTTAATAATAATAATAATAATCTTCAAAGAGATACCTACAAACAGATGAATAAGTCCTTTAATTTCTACTTCTGATGATATAACCAATTTCTCTTCTTCTTAATCTATATTTAGCTTAAGTGTTCACTCCTATAAGATTTTATGGTGCATTGATGATTATTAATTTATTCAGCAAATATTAATTCTGCCCCTGCTATCCACTGAGCACTCTACAGACCCTGATGATACAGAGATGAATAATAAATGGTCCTTGACCTCGAGGAATTCATAATTTATTAAAGAAATCAGCCACATACACCAAAACAAGTCGCCATTCCATTTTAAGGTAAGAGCTATAATGACTCTAGGGACAAAGTGCTTTAAAGGCATAAATGAGGAGATGAGTATTGGTGTGGTTCTGTAAAGAGGCAATTCCAAAGGCTTCACAGAAGAGGTAGCACATTGGGAGCTTCCAGAATTTCTATGGAAGAGTGATTAGTATCTTGTTGGACGTGGGGTCCAGAGAAATTGTGTTTATCTAGCACATGATTTTTACTTAGATTATGGGTTTATGTTAGACAGCTTTGGGGACCTAATAAAGATTATGGGAGCATGATAAGCCCTTTCCATCTCTTTCTCATCAACATTTTTCCCACATAACTTACTAAACACTTGGGTTTTATCGACTAGTTATGAGGAGTTCAAAGTACAGGGTTCCTTGCATGAACACAGGATACAGTATCAGACCATTTTAGGAAACAGTAAATACATCAGCATAGTCAGAATGCAGAATGAACAGTAACTAACTTGGGGCTGGAAAGATGGCCCAGGGTTGGGCTGTGGAGACTCATATTGTAGGCTAAAAAGACTGATCTTTTCTTTTGGACAATGCAAGTGAGCTTGAATGACTGTGATGCTGGAGAGTAAGGCAATCGATTTTACATTTTGGAGATATAGACATCTGAGAAAAGGAAATGAAGAAGAAAAAGACTAGAACTCGGGACCAATCAGGAGGATACTATAGGAGTCCATGTATGAGGTGATAAGTATTAGATCGAATTGTCGTGGGAATAGGGTAATTAGAAATATCATAATGATGGTTGGTTTTTTGTTTTGTTTTGTTTTGTTTGTATTTGAAAAGCTACAATAGAGCAACACTTACATTAATATTTCATTGCAAGAGAGGTTTCTCTAGTTGAGATACAAGAGTGTTGGGACTTTCAAAATTATGTTTAAAACATGAGGACTATGTTTTTCAGATAGTCAAAGTATTTTTATCTACTATATCCATGTTGGATCATATCCAAAGGCATAGGAGTGACTTAGGCATGAATAGGGTTAACTCATTATGGTAGGCCAGGGGTTGGCAAACTTTTGAGACAGAAGAGCCAATCCTGTCCCTCACAACAATGTAAAAATTATTCAAGAGCCATAAAACAAATGAAATCGCCATTATGTGAAAAATATCCTTTAAAAATGTTATAAAGGAAACTAGGATAGTTTTATTTTCATTTCCAATTTTACTTCAGAGCCACATGTACGTACCCAAAGAGCCGCATGTGGCTTGCGAGCTGCAGTTTGCTGACCCCTGGGCCAGGCCCTTACGTTATTACTATTGAAAACATGCAAACACTGGCACTTACATATTATATAGAAAACAAAACATATTTTGTCATTTAGGAAACTAACAACTCTTTCCTGAAGAATACGCCTTATAATAAAAATAATCCCAAGTTAAATAAAAGCATAGCATCTGGAAAAATTCTGTCTGATGAAAAAGCAGAATTTCTACATTAAATATTATTTTTAATTGAAGAATTTAAGATTAATCATAGCCTTAAACAATATTTCTGCCTACACAATGATTCTACACTAAGTGACAGAAAATACAGACGAGGTGGCTAGATACAACTATCTTATAGATGAACCCTCAAAATAATATAAAAGAGTCCCTTCTCTTTTCACCATGCGGAAAATCTTTTCCCATCTTCCCTGATCCAGTTCAGGAGCTAGAAGTCTTTTCTTACATCAGAAGTGCCTCCTTTTTTTATTCTGTAAGCGACAATATCTATTGAGCCCCTAATAATATATTAGACACTAGTCTAGGGACTTCCTATATGATATCATGCTTAAACTCTGAGAAGCACTTAAAATGTAAAGAATTCCTCTCATTCATTTGGCTTCAGATTTGTCATAGCTTAGAAAAGAGGAGATTCTTTTTCTTCCTTTGGCCCAGGAGGGATCCCCCACCCCCAGCTCATAAGATTCTCCCTAATATCTCAGACATTCAAACCAGTTTAGAGTGAGTTTTCTGCATGTAGGTGTGTGGTTATTATTCTTAGTTAAGAAACTTTTTAAAAGATTCTAATCTAACAACAACAAAAAAAGAATCAGATCATAAAAACCTGTGCTAAACATAATTCAAAGGGAAAAAATGAGCTGCAATGAAAGCCAATTTGAGCTGGAAAGACTTGTGCTCTTAAATAACTAGACATGTGTAGCCACTTCTGAAGCTGTCTGATCACATATGTTTTTAAACATCTGTCAGCAAAATCAGAGCTCCACATGCAAAAGGCAGCACTCCCAAGCATTATGGGGGTTTGTTTGTGATGAATTCTTAGATTCTGAAAGAAATGAATAGGTTTTACAGGTTGAACACTGGTTGTCACTGCTTAAGTTGAAGGAAGCTTTGAGAAACAGCTTCCAAAGGCTGTGGCTCATTTACATGTACATTACTATCTCAAGGACAAAACTGGAACCAACAATAAGACCTATGGAGCCCTAAAGAAGGAGAGATGTCAGGAAGTACCAAGAAGTAGGAGAAATTGGAGAGCGATAGCTTCACTTGTGGCTCAGAGCCCAAAGCTGAGTCTAACTTCACTCCTTTTTTTTTTTTTTGATAAAAAATATTCAGTGACATTTTCCCAACATTAAAATGTTCCCATCTCCAAAGTACAAATATGGGTCCTTTCTAACCTGCAGCATTTGTTCTTCCTCTGAAGACATCATCATATGCTTTCCACTGTGGCTTCACTTGGTAGGCATGGATGAATACCACAAATACCACCACGAGGCACATTAAAGGAACTAGAGCTGCAGTGAACAGAGCTGCATAGATGTTTGGGATGAAGCACCTGAAAGAGAGAAGAGAAGAGATGACTTAGACAACTTCAATCCAAACATTTCTACAATAAAATCCAGAATGTATTACTACATCATTGCTTTATACTAGCTCTTTCTATCTAAATGTTGGCAAAAGCAAATTTTTGGTTTGCCAAATTGAAGCTTTGTTAGAGTAGAGGCTACATGATTAAATCGAACTCACTGTTTTACAAAGTAGGATCCATGGAACATGCATCCCCTGAGATGCTCAGAAAACATCAAAAAAGGTTCTGGACAAATAAATTTAAGAAATGCGCACTCGCTTTCAGGCTCTATCTTCTTGGCCTAATGAAGTCTCATTGGGGATGGGGACTGCGTGAGACAAGGTATTGTTTAAAGACAAATCTGAGGATTCCTGAAGCTCAAGTCTGTCATTTCCACAATCTTGTTTTTTGAATGAAGGATAGTTTTGTCATTCCTAATCTATACATTTCCCCAATAGCCATCAATTCACTTGCACATAATGACAACTTTCCATTGAGAATCTATACTGCTCAATTTTATCTACTATTACTAGAGTTGATTTAGAACAATGAGGTCCAAGGTAAACTTACATTATTTATTTACTTTGGCAACACTAAAATTCTACAAGAAGAAAAGGTTTTAGAGATGTAACAGATTTTTACTCATGGGTCATAAAACCCTTTTGTCCGTTACATAAAATCCTTCACAAAAAAATATCTCAAAATGGAGGACTACTAAATAGGTTCTCAGTATCTAAAACTGTGCTTTTAAGGTATCCTTATAAAGGACTTACCTCCTACAATCCATAAGACTATAATACTCTTGATTACAAGATATTTTAATAGTAGGGAATGTCTCTTTTCAAATATTTTCCCCAACTTCTCCATTTTTAATACATAAGATCTGTAACCCTAGATTATAACACAGTAAAAAATAATGGATTCTGAAGAAAACTCAAGGAAAAAAAAGCCTGTTGAGAAGAAAACCTCAAAACTAAAATAAGGTAATAAGGGAAACATCCATTCTTGCAACTTGGGAAAACAGTGCCTCAACTTCATATTTAAAGAGATGTAGTATTAAAGACCTTATTATTTCTAATTAACATGATCTGCTAAATATATTTTTCCTATAAACAAGATACATTTCAAGATATATTTCAACACATATTCTGCATTTGCAAAGAGATGTCAAAATGACAAATTTCCTGGCATTTAGAATTTAATTTGAACAGCAGAAAGCCTGAATCCTTTCCTCTACCCTCATCTGAATGCCATAAGACCTGTATCTTCCAGCTAAAACGCATATGATTAAACAAAACAGGCAAACACTAATGGCCTTGATCTTGAATATATTTCTGCACTAAAAATAGTAATCATATTGGCCACTCATTTCTATGTATATTTGCCTTGAAAGATTTCTTACTGTTTTCATCTGAATTATGGATTCATTGCCATAGACTGGCCTAAAGGTACTTAGACAAATACAGACACTGATGCAGAAACTTGCATGGGCTTCGCTGCTCTATTTTTACCTTGAAAAATGTCATCACAATTCAATTTCAGGACATAAAATGGGGGTAATTATGGAATCTATTGTGAGCTGCTCTAGGAGTAATAAACATTTCATATGGAGTATTAGGATATAGCTGTAACTCTCCAACATTTTTACTTTCCAGTGGCTGAACATGTTTGGTTCTCACTTCTCAGTTTGAAGTGCCTTCCTAAAAACTTTGCTTTAGATGACAACCTTTGAAAGCAGAACCCCAACTAATGGTGCATCACCCTGGTTAAAAAATAAAATGGGCAAAGTAGACTTCTGGGAGGTTAGAACTAAGCAGGCATGTCTGCAGTGGCTCTCAGGAAGAGAAGGGAATTCCTTAAGTGCCACGACTCTTACATAAATCTCCTTTGCAACACTCCCTGCTTGTATGAACTTGGCCACACTGGCCCATTATTTTAGAGAAAGGGGCAGGAAAATTGTCCAATCCTGAAGTGACCCCTTTTTCCTCCATGTTTCTTCAGAGCTCCACAAGTCATAGCCTCTCATAAGTACTGGACTGCTGATAGTGCCCTAAGTTTGTCCTCTGCAGGGTCAACCTGGGGCCAGAGCATTGACGAGGAGGGTTTTGGTCCCCCAGGACGCCTGTTCCTGTTGGAAGCCCTCCTTCCTTCCTCTCTACCTCAGGATACAGGGTCCTCCCCTCACCCACTCCTGTCCAGCTGCGACTCCATCCAAGGCTTTTTCCAATGAAAACTATCTGCCTGGTGTACTACCTCTCCTAGGGATTAAGGCGTCAGACAACTACCCTTCAAAGGGGGGAAAAAAAAAGCCCTCATCAACCAGAATCTCCTTCAGTCCAACTGAATAAGACGTACAGTACATCCAGGTACAATACTTTAAGGATTAGATCACATGAAAGCGATGCGGGAGTTAGGAAACTATGAATATCACGTTAGGAATAGTTTGTGAAGTAAGGCTGGGAACACATTCTTGGAAAAACTGAATGTAATATAAGAAATGAACAGACTGAATGCTATGCACACACAAGGACTGTGGAAGCAGTTGATTATTGCGGTGGCAGCTATTGCTTCAAAGACAGACCTGGCAGTTACCACAAAATGAGACAAAGGCCATGTGGATTGGTTTTCTTAAAAAGGGTGGGGAGAGTGTGTTCCTTGTAATTACCAGCTCATCCAGATTCAAAGTACCCTGGTGGCCCTTCTCTCTTTCAGTGTTGAATGCTCTTTGGGGTTCTGGCAATCACATGTCTAACTTTTGCTGTTCCCTTTTAAATGTTCATGAGTAAATTTTCTTTCCTTTTATAATCCACAGACAATCCTAATTTATTTCAAAATCTTGTCAGGACTTCATCCCTTTCTCTATTTTTAGCCAGATGAGACAAGTAGATATTGTTTCATTGCCTTCAGTTTTTTCTCTTCCAAGGGTAACTTGCAGCATTTGCAATGGCTTACACTTTCTAATTTGGTAAGATTATTACCTCCCCTAGGTAGTACTTTATACTTATTGAAGTGTCTTCACTTGCATTACCTAACTTGACTTTTAAAATTATGTCAATGGCATGGGGTATTTGTTTCTTTATTCCTGTGTGAAATCTGAGTAAGAAGGAGCACAGATGCAAAGGAGTCCAGGAGGGACATATGCAAGCTCCATTTACAACTTCTGAAAGTATTGGGAGGGATGCTAGGAACTCCAGATACATGAGACTGTGATTTGAGTCCATTTAAATTATAGTTTAAAGAAGACGTTGACCCTGGCAAACTGGAAGACTTGAAGAAATCCAGGCAACTGACATCTGGGTTACACCTGGTTTATGTAGGTAATGAAAAAGGACCTAGCTAATGAAAAATAATAATAAATGCTTGTTTCCAAGATCTGCTTTATAACTAAGTACCTCTCAATAAGATAATGATAATAGCTATAATTCGCAGACTCATGTGCCAACCTCCCTTAGGCAGTTCTCCTTAAGATTTCGTTAATGATGGCATCTACATCAAAAGCTACATTTGTTTCCTCAACCAACGTTGTCTTTTTCAAATGGAAAAGAAATAAATTTATGAAGACATGAGGGTGACGAGAAAATCACAGTTTGGGTTTAACTAGCTGCCAGGCAGGAAAATATATTCTTTCTGTCCTTCTGTTGTAGTGTATACAACAGTGTTCATACCAAGGAAAATCAACGGAATTCTAAAAAGTGTTTTCTTTTAAACTTGAACTTTATTTATTGTTTTAAAATCTTTAAAAAAAAATTTTTTTTTCTTTTTATTGTGGAACAGCCATGGTCATTGGTTACACATTGCTTTCATGCTACAGTGGCATAGTTGACTCTTTTAAGGAGGGGGGCACAGCTCACAGTGGCCCATGCAGGATGTTATCAGCACCATGCTCTAACCAACTGAGCTAACTGGTCACACCCATTAAGCTTGAACTTTAAACAAGGACAAAGCTGAGATCAAATTGCAAATAAGCCCTAAGAAGTGAAATGGAACATTAGGATAATAGATGGACGTGGAGAGGAAGGACAGGAACAAGGTATTTCCCTAAATTGAATTAGCTGGATAATGAAGACCACCGTAAATGTTACTATTACTCTACCTACTATCACCACCATTGTGAATAACACTAGCAGAGTTCATTTACTATGTGTCAGGCATGAAACTCAATCCTTACATGCATTATCATGCATAAACATCACAACAGTCCCATTAGCCTCATCGCACACATGAAAAAATGACACCTAAATTACATAAGGTCGAATTGCCAGTAACATAAACAGGCTCATTTACCTTCATTGCTACATCTACAATTCTAAAATTACTTCCACAATTCTAGTAAAGACACATTAGAGTTCGTGGTAAACATGCCAATGTTCTCCTTGAGGACAGGGGCTGTAAGTTTTAAAATATTTCTCCTAGTGCTTTGCATAAATCAGAGCCTTAAGAAATGTTTATTGATTCAACTGATTTTTAGCATTCTTTGGAAACCACTTACTTGAAAAAAAAAGTAGGCACAGAAAATCCTGTATTTCAGGTGTGCTCAGTTCAATCAAAATCCAAGCAACACTTGAATATCATGTACCAGATATGATGCTGGACGTGGAAGGGTATATAAAGATGCCTATAGTATGGTCCCTCCCATCAAGCAGATTATATTTACAATAAATGCACAACACATCAGAATTTAGTCTTCTGCTCAAAGTGTTGTTCTTCCATCAGCATCATCAGCACTACCTGGGTGCCTGTTAAAAAGGCAGAGTCTGGGCCTGCTGTGTGGTGCATTGGTTAAGGGCTGGCTTGGGATGCCAGAGGCCCCAGTTTGGATCCCACATATGAGGGCCAGTGACACTGCCCTCCATAGCTAAGATGCTGAACAACAGCTCGACTTGGACTGGGCTGCCGTGAGTCGCCGGCGGCGATGGCAGTTGGGTTGCCATGGGCTACTGTGTGTAGCCAGCAGCCAGTGTGAGGGGCTGTCCAGAAGCCAGCGACTG